TTTAAATAAAAGTATATTTGATCACTACATATACATGTTGAACAGAGCATCTAATGCAACATGCTGTGTAATATGTATATGACTGACAATTGGCATTAGTTGGAAGAAGAAAAATTCTTTGGGTTTAGTCGCTAACAAGTGCCTCATCAAAAAAAATAAAACAAAGGTTCACTTGGTTTGTTAAGGTGCCATAATAATTGTTACATTTAGAGGATGTTAAACATAAAGAACAAATGGTTGCATTTTACTGTTAAGACATTTCATTACATTTTACAAATTTTAACACAGGTGGTACAGAGCTTCCATTCCTTAGGCATTCCAGTTGGATTTCTGAGTTTTATATTCTGGTTTTAATACAGTTTTTGAGTTTTATGTGACTTGAATTTTTAATCTTTCTGTAAAATAAGTAACTTAAATGTAAATACTCCATGTGTGTATCTTTTCCTCGGATACCAGCTTTGATATAAATGTTGTAACATAGATGTGTAGATAGTAGATCCTGGATACCTGGATAGAACTGGTTTCTTTTACCGAGAATATAATTCTGCATGAAGATTTAATGAATTCAAATCTGTACATGCCTCTGTGCATACCCACTTAAAACACTGGAAATAAATTTGTTTTGATTGTTCTTGCATGGACTGACTTGCATTTAACAGAAACAATAAATATGTCAAGTTTGTATCTTCCAGTTCACTGACTACACAAAAGATCATAAAAATAAAAAGGATAATTGAAAGAGTCTACAGTGTAGGGATCTGCTATTAAAAAGGCAGGTGAATTTTTTGAATAGGACTTACTTGCAAATTTTATTAATCAGTGGGACAAATAATTCCATAGGGATTACTTATTTGATAACAGCCTTTCATGCTTGCAAGCAGGCTATAAGCAGTTAATGTCCTTGGGCGTACCAAAATCTTGTGTAAGCTTGATAGTTTTGTTTGTTTCATTGCTAAGACAAGCTGCTTCATTTTACATTACAAAGTAAAATAAAGTAAAATACTTCAGGAATTTTGAATTTACCATTGCTGGGAATTATTTCAGGGGAGGTGTGCCAGGTCTCCCTTGGCCCTATGGAGTTTGGGCTAATGTATAGTTCTGCCCCTGACAAATTAAGAGATGCTGTAGATGTCTTATCCTGGTGTCTGGAGGCTGTGAGGGTCTGGACAGGGAACAAGAGGCTTCAGCTGAACCCTGGCAAGACTGAGTGGCTTTGGGTTTTGGGTCCTGCCGGTTCCAGGACTATGCCATCTTTGGTGCTGGATGGGGTTGTATGGCCCAGACAGACTCAGTGTGCAGTCTGGGGGTACTCTTGGACTCACGACTCCTGCTCAAAGAGCAGATGGCAGTCATGGCTAAGAGGGCCTTTGCACAGCTTTGTGTTGTGCACCAGTCTGCATCCATTCCTGGATTGGGAGGCGCTGCTCACAGTCACTCATGCCCTCATCATGCTCTACATGGGGCTGCCCTTGAAGAGTATCCGGAAGCTTCAACTAGTGTAAAATGCAGCGTTGTGTGTGCTTCTAGAACAGCTCATGTTACATCTCTGCTCCGCAAGCTGCATTGGTTGCCAGTCTACTTCTGAGTCCAATTCAAAGTGCTGGTTTTGACTTTTAAAGCCCTTTGTAGCATTGGGCCAGGTTATTTAAGGGACTGCCTCTCTCCAATTACTTCTGCCCGTCCCATCAGATTTGGCAAGAGAGACATACTACAGGTCCCATTAGTTAGGGAACTACGCTTGGCAGGCTTGAGGAGGTGGATCTTCTCTGCCATGGCACCTGCCTTATGGTATTCTCCCCCTTGAAGTGAGGTCATTTCCATCCCTCCTTATTTTCTGGAAGTCCCTCAAGACCTGGCTGTGTCATCAGGCCTGGGGATCTCAGGGGACTGGAGAAATCTTGAGGTGACTCCTTTGCTGATCTAATCCCTTGTGTGATTTATGCTTTTTTATACTTTTTCATTTGACTGATTTTGACATGTTTATTGTTTTTATATTTTTTGCTGTACACTGCCCAGAGTCACTTGTGAGATGGGTGGCCATATAAGGTAGATAAATAAATAGCTGAAGGAGCTACTAATAGATTTCTGTATGATTTGCAATAGGTGGTGGGTTTTTTGTTTTTTTTTTGTTTTGGTGACTTTCTAATAGCCAGTAGTTTAAGAGAAATAACAAAAAAGGTTCTCATTTTTGGGTGGTGATGGAGATAATTTTTGTGTGAAAACCAATGTTCTCAGAAGTGTAGATCTGAGTAGACAACACGGTTCCTGAAGATGCCAGTGTGTTCCCTGACATCTCCTTTGATGCCAACCAACCTCCCAACTCCATCTTTTTTTAAGTGCCTTTCATTAAATAGAAAGTGGTATGTTGCAAAGCAAAAATTTCTACCATACTTGCAATAATGCCCTTGATTCCAAATAGATCTCCTGTGGAGAACATTCAGAGAGTACTTTGCCTTTGGTAAAAAGGTGTTCTTTGGCCATGCCCACCATGGTTCAGCATATTTAGTCAACCTTGGCTGATTTTGGAAAAGCTAAGCAGTATCTAACCAGGTTAGATGGGAGAACACTAGAAAATTACAGATTTGTAGGCTACACCAGAAAGTCAAGAAAGTACAGTGGAACCTCGAGTTACGAATTTAATCCGTTCCGTGACTCGGGTTGCAACTCGAATTGGTCACAACAAGAGGCAAATTTTCCCATAAGGTTCAATGTAATTACCGTTAATCCGTTCCGGCGTCCGCGGACCACACGGCAGGGGTGGAAAAACGGCCGCGGACCACGCGGCAGGGCAGAAAAATGGCCACGGACCACGTGTCGGGAGGAAAAGTGGCCGCGGACCACATGTCGGGTGGAAAATGGCCATGGACCACGTGGAATGGGCGGAAAATGGCCGCGGACCACGTGGAATGGGCAAAAAATGGCCGCGGACCATGTGGTACAGGCAGAAAAATGGCCGCGGACCACGTGGAATGGGTGGAAAATGGCTGCAGATCCGGTTCGTAAGTTGAGGTGAGTTCGCAAGTCGAGGTAAATTTTTGGGGCCGGAGCTGGTCGTATCTCGAAAAATTCGTAACTAGGGGCGTTCGTAACTAGAGGTACCACTGTATCTCAGAAGGTGGGAATGGCAGATTAATTTTGTATAGTGGGCCAAGAAAATTACTCATATGTATCTGTGTAATCATCAGGTTTTTCAAGCTTGGACCCTTTACCAAGCGATTGGCATGGTGGGCAGGAAAATAAAATTGACAAGTTGTCTATTACAGCCATTTGTGAGTTGATCTTTCACATGCTCTCAAAATTCCAAATGTGCCCAGCCTTAAAAGGTGTTCTGTAGGCTCTCCGTCATGAGCTGCTACCAGTTGTAAGCCTAAAGTCCATTCATCTCTATATTAACGTTATATTTTTTGCTATCAATGCTAGTTTTCAAAAAAGCTAAAACAGGTTTGATTTTGTTCAATGAAAGTTCAGCGTTTGGCTCTTTCAGACCTTTTGGAGCCAGAAGGAAATACTATTATCAATTTAGGTTTTCTCTCCTACTTAGGAAATTTGTGTTGTGGTTAACAATGTGTACAGAAAATATAGTAAAAAATGTAAACACCTATAAAACATCCAGGTTAAGGTAAATAATAAAACATTGATTGTAAGCCAACAAGAATTATAAAAAACATCAGTGACACCTGATCAATCAGAAGCTGTACAGAAAAGTTCACTTACCAGCATTTTCAAAATGAGATCAAGATTGGACTTGAGGCAAACCTGATTTGAGTTGGGAGGCACTGCTCCAGCAAAACAGCACCTCTGCATCTGCCCTCATTTTCATAAAAATGAGGTGCTGCTAACAATCATTTCAGGGATGATTGGCTCATTTGTGGATGGAGAATGTGGTCCTGCAGGTATCCTGGTGCCAATCCAACACTTTGGACTGTGTTTGGAAATCTATTTTGAGCCAATGCAGGTGTAATGAGCTTTTGGTGAAGTGTGCTGGGTGGCAATTGGGACATTGCATTCTGCATCAACTATACCTTCCAGCTGCTCTTCAGAGAGCCCCATAGTGCAGTAATCCAGTTGGACAGTGATGAGGATGAGTTATTGTGGCAAGACTTCCCACTCCAGGTAAGGCTGTACCAGCCAGAAGCAGGCAAAAGCCCTCCTGATCATTGCCTTCACTTGCTTAACTAGCAGCACGCGCTAGCTGCTCTTGGACATCCTGCTGACCCATCCAGATAAAATGCTTTCTTCTTATCCATACAGATTGCCAAAGGCCACTTGCAAATGGAGTGCACATCCTCTTGTGAGTCTGCTGCGGATCATACTAAATCCAGTCCTGTCTACTTAATAAGTATATATAATGAGCACACACCACTAAAACTTGTGATGAGTACTCTTCTTAATTGTATACTAACATGATTTATGGTGTTGAAAAATCAAGAACCACCACTACAGTTGAACCAACACCATCCTAGTTCTTCCAGAGGCCAGAGAGGGGTACTGGTAGTCCTTGCTTAGTGACTGTTCATTTAACAACGATGTGGAGTTACAACTGCCTTGGGAAAAGTTACAGCCCCGTGGTCACATGATCACAATTTTTGGCCTTTTTTTTACAACAGTCATTAAGCGAATTACTGTGGTCATTAAGCAAATCCCAGCAAAAACATCCATTAGGGAAGCTGGATTCACTTAATGACCATGTGATTCGCTTAACTAT